CTTTATACATGTGTGCTGAAGGGTCAGCTTGTGCCATATTTGAGAGAACTTCATCTACATCATCATCGGAGTTAAATTACGGTGATTCTGGGTGAATGAATAGTCCAGTCTCAGCACTATCCGCACCAGGCTCACGAAGCGGTTCTTCTGGTGGAGATGATGGTTCCTTCATGCTCTCCACATTTAGGTCAAAGAACCTACTACTTGCATGTCTTCCCCTTGAACTAGAAGGCATATCGACATTGAGATCGAAAAAGCTCGTAGTTGAATGCCTCCCCCTGGAGGTTGAAGTCATCGTGTCAAATGGAAACTGCACTGATTGTTGCGTCGATGGCATCTCTATATTAAGGTCAAAGAAATTTGCAGATGAATGCCTTCCCCTTGAACTGGACGCGATGTTTCTATACGGATTGTTCATGGACCCACCTCGGTACATATCGTAAGAAGTTGCGGATGAATGTCTCCCCATTGAAGTTGATGTGACGACACCATGATGCAGATTTCCCGTTATGGCATTAAAATCATTACACATTACTGTAGTCGGGCTGTCAACTTGATCAACTTGTTCAGCCAGCCCATAGTGGGAGCTTAATGACTGACCCCGAACAGCACACACTTGAACAAACTTTGCATACATCTCAATATCGGCGTCTGAATAATTACTTTGAGAATCATCCATCATTTCAACATCATCATTGTTCGATAGTTCGAACGTTGTATAAGTTAATGGAAACAATGATGTTGGAAATCTGTACTGCAACGAAGACATTCTTCTACTACTTCCAACATGAACCTTCTTCGAAATCTTCGTTATCAGCTCCTCAAGAGTTATGTTTCTCTTAAATGATATTTTAACACGCTCATTTGATACAAAAACAACGCAGGTTTCATCTTCTCGAATTTCTCCATCATAATAAACAATAGTTGAAAGTCGCGTCATTCTTAGAGTTTAAAAGTGCGACAATATTATATCTGCAAAAAAACAACTGAAACAAACCTGCTTAAATAAATAATATATGAACGAAAATATAACATAATAAATTTTTTACACATAAACGTAAATAATTTAAATAATATAATTTTATATTATTACATGTACCACAAAAATATTTCGACGTATGCTCCTGCTTTCCCCTTGAACTGGCACAAAAATTAATTGAAAACAATTAGTATAATATTTTTTTTCAAATAATCATAATAAACAATAAGTATAATAAAAAATATTATAACAAAATTACCTTATAACGAAAGATCGAACGAACTTCTGAATCAAATATAAGAGGATTGTCGGGTGTTATTTACCGGTTGAAAGGATTGTTGTATTAATTTCTCGGTTGAGAGGAAATTATGAGAGAGTTTACGGGGAGAGGGCTATTTATAGCCGAGAGAGGATGCTTTAAAGCCGAGAGGTTCGGGTAAATTATGCAAGGCGCGGTCCCTGCACCGCGCCTTGCATTATGCATATATGATAATTGAGCATGTGATAATTGAAAAACGCGACCCCTGCCCCGCGCTATAGCCTCACGTGGCGTAAGGCGCACCCCAGGGGCCGCGCTTTAGACACATGTGTCCATGTCAGCATAAGGCGTGCTACAGAGAGCGCGCCTTACCCCACGTGGAGCCGGATCACCGTAAAACGTGCTGCAGGGGCTTGCCTTATTGCAAAGGGTGTTAGATCGAGAAAAATAGTCTGAATGGTGCCTGACAGAGAAATAAATAGGGTATATGTGATATATCGGGAAAAACGCCATGTTTTTTCCTTTCGTCAGAAAAAAATAATTTAAAAAGTTAAAAGTTTAAGAGTCAAAAGGAAAAAAAGCAAAAATAATTAGAAATGTTATTTTTTTTAAGTCCTTTGACTATTAAAAGTTATAAAATAGTAACTGACTATTTATTATATTCCAAGCTCATCATTTTCTGTTAAAATTTTGAGAATTATTTAAGTTGTATGTCAACATGACGAGTGTGATATAATAGTCATTTGGATTCTAGGATAGAGTTCATTATATCACATCCAACAAGTTAACTTACAACTCAAAATATTGTCAATTTTTAACGAAAAATAATGAGTTTGGAACATAATGGATAGTCGAATCATCATTTTGTAATTTTTAGTAGTCAGAAACAACATTTTGTAGACAAAAGACTATTTTATAACTTTTAATAATAGATGGACTTCATAAAATAATATCTTATAATCAAAAGATAATTTATATATTTTTATTTACATTATACAAACCTCCTCTTTTATTTTATTAAATTAATCTAACATCACTATATGTAGATTCGACCATATTTATTTATTTATTTATTATTATTATTAATTGAGGTAAGTACAAGATAATATTTATTTTAAGACAACCTTCAATCATTTGACATTGAACGCTTACACTCCTGACATTCTTGGTGCTTGAACCCGAAATCTTAAGGAATAATAACAATTCACTTATTATTGAGGTCGCTCAGTCTGTGCACAGGTTGATTATTTTTATTACCTTTTATGTTTCGTTCTTTGCGTGTAAGAAAGATTGAATACAATCCTAAATTTTTAAATTCCCTTATATTTAGATTTCTTTTTATTTTCTATTGATTATCTAATTTCGTATCCCTAAAATTTTATAACTCCGCATCTCCTAAAATTTTTAATATATCTTCTTAAATTCACACACTAATGTAAATTTATACGTCCGTCCTGAATTCATTTATATATTTTTAATTTCCCGAGAACTTGAGAGAACATAAACCCACACAAACACAATTTATTCATTCTAAATTTCTTAATCTTCCTTATTTTCAACTTTAATCCGAGCTCAAATCTGAATCCGTCTTCTTTATTATGTTTTTGTATCGATTTGTAACAAATTGATAATTAACTTTAACGATTTATAATAAATTGGACACTCGATGTTAACAATCATTAATATGGATGACGAAAAGTTGAGTTAAACTATTAACTGTTTATCTGGCTCGTTGACCGATCACCTCTTCATCCCACCATCCTTCCACCTCTTACGACCGTCATCTATGAAATGCATGAGACAACTCTTGCAACCTGCAACTACCACGACATTATCTTTGCTTTTCTCTACCCCATGGTGATCCATAACCCCGACATTGCTAGGCTCGAGAATAGCGAGGCTTTCGCAGAGGTATGAGGGGCAAAAGCTAGTAAACAACTCTTGAGGGTGGCGATCACAGGTGGAGAGACGATGGGGTTGAGGCGGTTGTGATGGCTCCACATTAGGATTCATAACCGGTTAATGGGTCAGGTTACCAGTCAACAGGCCAGGTTTTGGGTGGGTGAGTCTCTTAATAGGGATTTTCTGCATACACAATAACTCGAATTCGGGACCTTACTTAAGCGATATCAAGTTGCTTATCACTTGAACCAACTCATGTTGATTCTTTAGAATATTTCTTAATCGTTAATAACGTACAGGCACCATACAAATGTAACTATTTAAATCTGAGACCTTTAAAAGAACAATACTTTTTTTTGAATGGTCTAAGATGATTATAAGATAATATTTTTTTTTTATAATTTTCTTAATCAATTGATAATATAGATGTTCGAAGTTCAGGGTTCGAATCCTGGTGTTTACGAATGGAACAAATTGGGTTGGGAGGGTTGCCCTCGTCTCTGCAGTATTCGATCTGAATTAGTTGGTCAATAGATCGGATATCAGTGATTAATTAAAAAAAAAATCATATAGGTTAATGCATGATACATAATATTGTCACTTAAATAACTAGCTAACTAACTAGCCATTAATTACACATTTGCCCCTCATTTTATGCGGAAAAAGAATAATTTTCTCTATGCGACTGGAAAACAAAAACAAATTTTTTTTAAACAATAACAACATTATAATAATAATTAAAATAATGGCAAAATCAACGAGATAATGCGTTGAAATTTTTTTTTCACGAGATAGTGCCCTCGCCAGATTAATTGCTCAGATAGGGTGATCTCTACAGTCCCTGGGGTAGGTCGCCATGCACGCCCAGTGACCTACCAGGTCGCCATGCACGCCCCAACACGCTGGGCATCCGAGGCCATCCGACCGAGGCCATCCGAACGAGCTATGCGAGGGCATCCGAGGGCAACCGAGCGAGCTATGCGAGGGAATCCGAGGGCAACCGAGCAAGGGTAGGTCGCCATGTACTCCGGGCGACCTACCCTCGCTCGGTTGCCCTCGGATTCCCTCGCATAGCTCGCTCGGTTGCCCTCGGATGCCATCGCATAGCTCGTTCGGATGCCCTCACATAGCTCGTTCGGATGGCCTCGGATGCTCTCGAATGGCATCGGATGCTTTCGGATGGCCTCAGTCGGATGGCCTCGGTCGGATGGCCTCGGATGCCCAACGTGTTGGGACGTGCATGGCGACCTACAACAACGTTTCATGCTGGACATTCCAATACAAATGCTAGACTTCATAATTAATCTTTTTTCTCTAAATTCAATAATAAATTTCTATATATACACACAACTCTGTTAATCTTAAAAATTAAACAGAGAAACAAAGATGCCTAAAGGTATATTATAAATAAATGTAAATAAAATACAATAATAGACTAAAAATGCTTTAAAAATTGAATCTGAAAACACCACACTATTTGATTGCATGGCGACCTACACTTGGTCCTTTGCAAAACAGCCCACAGGTCGCTCGGATGCCATGGCGACCTCCAAGGTCGCCCGGATGCCATGGCGACCTCCAAGGTCGCTCGGATGCCATGGCGACCTCCAAGCTCACTGTAGAATTCACCCCATTTCAGCAATTAATGTGAGATGTGCATTATCTCGTGAATAAAAAAGTTCGAGAACATTATCTCGTGGATATAATAATTATTATAAGAATATTAATAATTATTATTATAATAATAAATAAGAAGAAGGAGAAGAGAAGAGAGGAATTTATGGCTGCAGTAAGATTGAATCATAGAAAGAAAAGCCATTTATGCAACGTAACGTATCCCTGAGTATCTTCTTCAAATATTTATACAGTAGTAACAGCAGCACCGACCCCATCCTCCTCCGCATGCGGCAGCGCTGACTGAGATTTCTCCGGGAGAGATTGTTCCGCTCGTCCGCAAATGGCGTTCAAGGAGTCGGCGATCGGTTTAACGACCAAAATCCCCTCGCCGACCCCCGCGCAGGTGAAGGTGGTAAGGAACACAGCTATAGCAAGTCCGTTGTGTGTGGAGGGGTTGTCCTGCGTCCAAAACGCAGACAACCCCATGAGCAGAATTTGCAACGGCAAACAAACGAGGATGGTGAAAGCAAGAACATAGATTCGAAGCTTGAGCGCCTTGTTGATTACGTGAGAGACGACTTTCCAGAACGACTACAAGAAGGAGAATATGAAAATGACTCCAAAAATGCCGAACAAGACGGTGCTTATGAAAGGGTACGCACACAAAATCTCGGCTTTATCGCCGCCGCCGCCCTGGTCGTCGATCTCGAAGAGGAACCAACAGCGATAAAAAAGCTTCCGAAAACGCAGCTCGGAACCGGCGAGGAAGACGAAGTAAACTTGCAAAAGGAAAAGAGGAAGACACGAAACGAAGACGTAGAAAACGCTGAAGAAACCATTCGGGGTTGTTTTTTTAACCGAAAAATCGAGCAGGAAGAGAAGGATAACGAGAAAACCAGGCTCGAAGAACCCTAAAGACAGGACCAGATGGAGTTTACAGACGCTGGATTGTTCCGGCGGCGCTAGGATCGGGAACAAAAGATGAAGATAAACGTCCCTAAACAAAGGAAGACGAACGGCTTCAGTTAAACCCCAAAACGAGACGAAGACGACGAAGAGGAACCGGACGGTCCAAAGACAGTTGAAGTTCTGCAAATGAACGGAGCTCCTCGACTTAAAGCGGATGAGCAAAATGAAGCAAATGCAGAAGAGTGAGAAACCGAGGAGTGCAGCAATGAAGATGACGAAGAAGCATTCGACGGCAGATTTGACAAATGGTAGGGGTGAAAAAAATATCATGGCACACACGTGCGTGACTATAACCAGCGGCGGTCAGAAGAAACATAAACAATAACCCAAGGCATAATTGGGTGGTGGTCGGAAGGGGAGAGAATGAGGGTTGATGATGAGTTCTTTCTCTCCCCTTTTCCCAACCGGCGGGGGACGAAGCCGGTGAACTCAACTTGATCAGGTCTTTTCTGGGTTGGTCGGATCATGAAAGGAGTCGACAAGTTTTTTGTGGTGATATGAAATGGCTGCTTTAATTTCGGCTCTTTTCTGGTTGTTGTTATTTTTAGGGCGTGTACACAATACCGGGGTCATTTAGGCTATACAATTTACCTTCTTAAATTTTCGTAAACAAATAAATTAGAAAGCTGTCGTGGGTTGCGACAGTTTTATAGGAATTTTCATCGATATTTACAACTGGTTTCCAATATATTTAACCTCTTTGTAATAACGGACACGATTTCTTGCACTGCCTTTTTTTTCATTATTTATACGTGTGTATATATATATATATATATATATATATATATATATATATATATGATTCTTTCATGTTTCATGACTCTTAGCTGTTCATGGATATGTCCGCAATTAGGGGTGTAAATGAGTCGAGTCGAGTTCAAGTATTGCTGAGTTCGACTCGAGTTCAAGTATTGCTGAGTTCGACTCGACTCGAAAACTCTAAAATGGAGCTCGACTCGTCTCGAAAACTCGCGAGCTTAAAATTTTTAAGCTCGACTCGAATTCGAAATCCTGAACTAAAGCTCGTGAGCTAAGAATGGCAGAACGACCCGAACCCGACGGGGAAACCCGAAACCCGGCTAAATTCGGGTCGGGTATCGGGGTAAAATTCGGGAATTTTTTCGGGTTCGGGTTCAGGGCAAGGTATCCCCGCCCCGCCCCACCCCGATTATATATATATATATATATATATAGTATTTTATATTTTTTATATTAATTATATATATAATATTTTATATTTTTATATTAATTATATAATACAAACCCTAAACCCTAGCTTTTATAATTATTAAAGTGAAATTTGGTTGATTTATTGATAAATTTCTCAATATAGGGAGCTACCAAAGAAAGTGACAAAAGTGGCACGACGATTTTGGATGACTTTATTTGACTTAATATTACGTATGCATCTTCGTTGTATGATTTGAATATCGGAACAAGTTTGTATTTAATTATATGTGTTTTATTTTGGAGTTTAGACAATTATTTAGAATTGGTTTGAATTTGTGATTGTAGTTTGAATTGTAAATCATGTAGACTAATTTTCCAGTTTTTTGTGATCATTTTTTATATTTTTATGAAAACTACGGTTGCTCGGTTTTTCTCGGGATCGGGTCGGGTTCGGGGCAAAAAAATCCCCGACGGGGCGCCCCGATAAAAAACCCGACGGGGAACGGGGCGGGGACGGCGACGGGGGTTCATTTCGGGGACGGGGACAGGGGGAGCAAAACCCGCCCCGTTGCCATTCCTATTGTGAGCAGCTCGAAAAGGCTCGAAATTAAAAAAAAAATCTTAAACTTAACTCGATTGAAGCCTCAAACTCAAACTTGATCATGTAAATACATGAAAATCTTATTGTATTTAAAAAAACAATACATAAATATTAATATTATTAATAATTTATTTTTAAAAAAATAAAATCTTAATATATTATATTTTTCGAGCTGCTCACGAGTTTTTCGAGTCGAATATCGAGTAGCTCGTTTCGACTCGTTAATAATTCGACTCGAGCTCGAGTCGAGTCCATTCGATCCAAGTATTTATCGAGCCTTGATTGAGTCGATCTCGAGTAGCTCGCGATCTGTCTCGTCTCATTTACAGCCCTACAAGCAATAGTCGGATATACAAAGGAATTTAATTTACGGTAAACTACATAAATGGTCACTAATGTTTAAGTAATTTTTTATTTTCTCCATTTTAGTTTTAAAAGTAACAAATTAGTCACTAACGTCAATGCTTTGTAACAAATTGGTCACTTGAACTTAATAGCCTTTACCAGATGTGAAGGAATGTTGAGTTGGACAATTAATCACTTAATTGGCCTTGTTGACTGGTAATCTGATCCGTTGACTAATTATGAATCCCAAAGTGGAGCCACTACAACTGCCTCAACCCCACCGTTTCTCCACCTCTTGTGATCGCCACCTTTAAGAGCAACTCACTAGGTTTTGGCCCTCATGCCTCTGCGAATGCCTCTTTGTTCTCTATCCTAGCAATATCGGAGTTATAGACTAAAATTTGACTTTGAAAACACCCTCACTTCCCTCTTCCTCTTATGTATTCCTCTTAATTTATTTTCCTTCCTTCTTCATAATCTCTCTCTTTCAATTTCCTTGTCGCATCTTACATTTTTTGTTGTATTCTGCGTTAGTAATGATAGCACCAAACAAAGAGACAATAATATAATCATTGGAAAATTCTTTACATAACTACTTTTTGAACCAAGAAAGAAGTAGCAACAGTGATGACAACAATGATGGTGATGATGTATTAATAGGGAGGTTTTTCACATCAAAGAATAATAACAACAACAAACAATAGTAGCAGTAATAGTTGAATAATAATAAATATGAAAAAACAACTAGGATCTAATCATACCAAATCATCAAGAATAAAATACTAGATGCAGAAGCCTATCTGAATTAATTGATAGGTTAATACCCTTGAATCTTTCTTTGGTTGCGATCTTCCAAGAAGATAGAGTTCTCTTGAGTATAAACTCTCCGATGGGGATAAGAGAGAATATGATATTATCTATTTCTTAGGAACCATAACCCTTTTATATAGCTAATTTAAGAATCAATTATTGTGTGTACTTATAGCTCTGCCCATAATCAAATTATAAATACAACTTTACTAGTATCTACACTTTTATTTCGATGACACTTCTAATACCTTATAACTTTATAACATAATTGGTCACCTTCATTGCCACAACGAATTTGTATCCACAACGAATTTGTATCATCATATATAATTTTCTAATTACATCGTATAAAACATCTCATCAATGTTGCCATTGAGAAACACAATTTTAAATTCAATTTATGTAACTTAAGATCAAATATGAGCAACAAGTATCATGATTATCCTGAAAGAGTCTTTCAATGAAACCAAGGAGAAAGTCTCTACAAAATTAATGCCTTCTTTGTGAGTATATCCTTTAGATACAAGACATGCCATATACTTTGCAACATCACCATTTGCATTCATCTTGGTTATAAATATACATTTACAATCAATCGACTTTGCACTTTTAGGTAATGAGACAAGTTATCAAATTTCATTATCTTGTATAGAATTTATATTATTCTTACATGGCATTAATCCATTTTTTAGAGTCAAAAATTTTATTACATGATGAAAGTTGATTAGATCCTCCTCCATCATTCCATTGACATCTTTATATCTAGTAGAAACATAATAATCTAAAATAATATTTCTCTCATCTCATAGATCTTTTTAATGACACTTGTTCTTTAAGGTTGTTGAGTTTGTTCTTCTAAAATAATTTTTCATCTTAAATGGGGAGTTGTTCATTATTGTCTTGTTGAGGTTCTAGATTCACTTCTTGTTTAAAGACAATGAATGAACACATGGATATCATCAAAAGTGATAATAGGAATTGATTTATAATTCAATTCCCTTTCAGAACCAATTCTTTAAACCTTATTTCTCCCTCCAAACTCAACATCCTAAAAATAATGTTATAGATCCCTCCTTAAAAATATGTTTAGTTATGACATCATAAAATTTATAACCATTAGATCACTCAAAATGACCAAACTAGTTGTTTAATGGTTTAGAATTCAATTTCTCCTCATATGTCCTAACTTATCTCAAAAGAGAACAACTCTTTGTAACATATTATTGTCTCTATTGAGTTTGACCCTTAACAACTATATTTTATTTTTTTTAACCTTATCTTTAGATGCACTTTTCAAATGAGTACTTTCAAACTTATTATAATTCAGCCTTTAAGTGTCTTAAGTCTTGAAGCAATATGAAACATATCCACAATGTACTCTTTTACATTTCCTTGACTGTTATACTTTATAGACATCAAAGAAGTCAAAAAAATGATGTCATTTAAACCTTATTGTTTTTGGAAAAAATATTTCCCTATTTTGTCAAGGAAACCATTGGCCCAAGTAATCTTTTCAAATTATGTGCTCCTAAAGGCTTCTAAAATGTTGTGTTTCATGATCATTAAACTTATGCAATTAGAATAAAGTTTACCTCTCAAAATCTCTTATATCAATTAAGGATGTTATCCTCATAAGAGATGAAAATTATTCTTTGCTTAGTGCAAAATTTATGTTCATACAACCAAAACCTTAGGTAAGTGCATTTTCTCATTCCTTGAGATTCGTTTTCCTATGCATAAGCATAAAATGTATAGTAGTAGATATTATGATAGCAATAAATAAATAATTAGTTGAATACATAACAAAACTTAAATAAAATGTAAGCTTACATCTTAAGTAAACAAATAAATTCAAAAATAACGATTAATTCTCATCTCAAGATATCAAACATTACATAAATATCAAGTCTTTGGACAATTATATTAACAGTAAACGGTACTCTTGTTGTAGTAATCAAACATTGACAATAAGTTAAGTCGAACAAATGACTAATCTTTGGACTAATGTAATGCTCCCATAAAATACCTTATAATTGTCACTTAAAATTCGGCTAAATATTAACTTTCCTTTGGACTAATTAATAAACGCATGAATCAAAAGAAACACATAATAATCTTGATATTTTAAATAAACCAATTTCTACAAAAGATGTCACTTTTTGTAGCAATAACAATATATGTAAAACCATATAAATATTGTTAGCTAATCATTTTTTTCTTAATTTTTTCTTTCAATTAAATTAAAAGATAACTAAAACAATGATAAATTTGAATACACTTAAACCATATCTCAATATATAAGATGTTTATTAATATTTTTATAACATCCTAATTTTGTCTGACC